TCACCGTGGTGCAGGATTTGGTGTAGGTGATTGTGGTCATGGTGATGGCAGAAGTCCCAACAAAGGCATATCCTGGTCATAGCTAAGCTACCTATGGTATGGTCAGGCCATAGTGTCACATTACAAAATAACCCTTCATATCAAATGACGCATGTGAGAACATCAGCTCCCTGAGGACAGATGCTGGGGCTTACTGCAGAATACTCCAGGCCTAGAAGTACATGCCTATGTGTGGCATACAGTAGAGGCTCAATAAATGCATGTTGGATGGATGAGAGGGAGTTGAGTCCCTCCTTGTGGTGAACACTACGTTACCCCATTTAATCCTCACCACACCCCTTCAAAATTCCCATTTTATAGAAGAGAAAATGGAGACCAAAAGAGATGAAGTAACTTGCCTAAGATCAGGAGTCAGCAATGGGGGAAAGGGAAATAGGCATTAATACCCAGGCCTGCCTGACTCCCAGTGCAGTGGTCTTTCCTCTATACACTTTGCAGACACTCTCCCCGCCAGCACTCAGCATTGCATCATGGTCTCGTGCTCGGGCTTAATCATAGAAATACTGCTAATAATAGTAACAATTGCTGTTTGTAATTGTTTGAGTGAGGCTTAAATGATCAAGACCATGGAAATTATTAATAACCCGGACCCAGCCATGGTAGTATGGGTCATATTAAATTGTGTGGAGATGGATAACCTCGGCAATAACAGTAACTGGGATCATAAATTAATAACAGGAGTATTTAACTTAATGCCACACTGTCGATACCCTTGGTAGTAGGCAGCTCCTCGACGCTGCTGTTAGTACAAATGCTGCCCCTTCCTGCCTTTGATGAATCCAGCTGAGTGGAAGACGAGTTCAGAGAAGCAGCGGAAGGAGGAGACATCTTAGAAGCAGTTGCTGTCCGGGAGAAGTGAATCCTTGGGGAATTCGGGAAATGCTCACTGCCTGGTCTCTTATGGCCAGCTGTGAAGGTGGTGGCTCGTCCCCATTTATGCTCAAAGCCACAGTGATGTCTACCTGTCCTTTGCAGGACTGTCGCCTAGACTTTGTTGGTTACACAGGAAAGAAATTCACAGGACAGATATTCCCCCCTCCCCATGGATGCCAGCATGCCCTCTCCACAAGTGTTCTTGATCTCCCTTTGTTTTTATCATTGGAGACGGTAGTACTGGTTTTTTCAAAGAGGAAACGGAGGTCTAGACGTGGCCAAGATCAGGGTGCTGGGATGGGCTTTGTAGATGCCTCTCTCTCCCCACCCCTGCTCTGTGCTCCAAGGGTCTTGAGATCTGGGAACCAGTAAAGGGTGGGGACAAGCATGGGGGTGAGCATCAAGGTATGGGTGTGTGTATGTGGGGGGGTGCGAGTTTCCTACCAAGAGATTGGTGGCATACTTTCTGGGTTGAGGGGACCTAAGATTTGGACCTGGCAAATCTAGGGCAAGGTGAATGTGGTTCTAGGAATGCCACCGAAGTACATGGATGGGGACACGGATGTGAGTCCATCCAGCCACTTTTCTGTTTATTCCTTTCTGTGGAACTTTATTTAACACCTACCGTGTACCAGGTATCTGCCAGATGGGAGCCCTTGGGCCCATGGAAACACCCACTGTCTATTGAAGTCCATATTACTGGGGATGCATCTGTGTGTTTATATATGGGTGTAAATGTGTGTTCATGCATGTGTGCCCTTGTTGACTGTATACATGCGAGGGATTGTGTAGACGTGATCCATGTACACATTCGCGTGTGTCTGAGTGTCTGAATGACACGTGTGCACACGTGCATGCCTGTGGAGGTGCGCCTGTAGGACGCTGGGTCTACTCCTGTGCGTGAGGATGGTGTGGCCACCTGTGAGAGCACAGCACATATACAGGTGAGCTCGAGAGTGTGTATTTCTGTTTTGTGTGCACACCTCTGGCCCCTTCAAACCCATCATTTGAGAAGCAAATCATGTCGGAAAGGCCTCCACCTTGAACGTCCACGTCGTCGGGTCAGGCCGCCCTGCGCCCCTCCCCTCTCTCCAGGCCTGGGCCCCGAGATTCCCCACACTGAAAGGGGAGCGGGTGGGGCGGGTGGGGCACGGACTCGGCAGATGAAGGGCAGGGAGGGCAGCGGGCATTC